ACCGTGTTCAATCTCTTTTGTTTTCCTCCATGAGATCTCCTCCAATCATCTTTCAAATGCAACTTATCTTCAAGATCACCGAGCTTCGTCTTTTGTTTGTCTGCTGTTTGGTTTTGTTATTTTGTTTTCGTTTTTTTTTTGAACAGGAGAAGAGTGAATACGGAAGGATGGAAAAAGAAGAAAATAGGGTTGAAGAATAGAAGAAGGTTGAGTTTCGGCCAAGTGGAACTGTGGTTTTCGGAGAAGTAGTTAAGGGAGTCGGAGATGAAGTAACGACGACGATGTTGAAGGAAAGAAGAAGAACTTAGGGTTTCAGACGTAAGCAAAACGAGAGGGAAGAGGGTGAGATCCGTGGAGCCCCTTGGTTGAGTCGTTGGGCTGTAAAGCCCAATTGTCTGGTTGGGATCCGTACCCCCGCTATTCCGTTTCCACCTCCCTTGCTGTTGGCTTCAATTGGGGTTGGTGGGTTTTATCCCAATACTCATTATTTATGGACTGAATCCCCTGATTCTGGATTACACCCCCTTTGCTGTTTTTTATTTTCTTTTTGTGTTTTTTCTTTTGTAAATAATCTTGATATTATAATACATTATATTTCTTTTGTAATAATATTTTATTTAGAATATTATATGTATATATTATATATAGTTTTTTTATATATATTCTATTTTCTCTTCATTTCTTTTAATAATTTCTTTTAGAATTTATTTTCTTTTTAGAAGTTATTTTCTATTAAGGTTGAGTTCTTATTTCCATTTGTTATTGGTTTTTTTCTCACCATTTCATTTTTGTAGGTCGATGACGAAACTTCCGTAAATCATTATAAATCAACTTGTTGATGGATGGTGTGGGATCCGAGACAACTTTTTCTCTCCTCATCTTTTCTTCTTCTTCTTCTTCTTATTTTATTTTGCTTTTCTGTTGTGCTGTCTGTGTGACATGATTCAATTGGAGAATGATTCTCAATATCATTTCTCTATCTTGTCTTTGACACGGATATTAATACACTATCTCTTGGGGTTTGACTTCTTTTATAAGTCGAATTATGACGGTTCAGCATCACATTGGTTCTGGTTTGAAATGTCATCATCAAGGATCAAAAGAGGAAAGCTTGGAAATGGAGCTTGCACGCAAAAGTCAAGGGTCAAGGGAACCACTCCGTTTGGTAACATTGTTTTTATTTCATTCCTTTTATCTCTGTTATTAAACCGTCGAGTGTTATGCTGTAGCGTTAGGTACGTGGGAAATGGTGATTGGGGGGCCACCTCTCAATTGCCTAGAGTGTTTAGTATATGTCCTTAGGACAATATGCAACGCATTCGCTCCTACGTCTAGGACTTAGCGTGTGAGTCCCGTTCCGAACCTTTTCTCTCGCATCCTGGCGATTGAGACCTCCCATTTTCTCTCGCGTTCTGGTGACCGAGTTCCCTTCTCTTACCCATGTGCAATCGAGATTGTTTCCTGTAGTTAGCTGAACTACAGCTGCTCTGATTTCTCGTACCAGACGAGAATATGTAGGCATAGGATGCGATATCCTAGCGAGCACACTAACAACTAACTTCTTTGTTCTCTCGCTTCCGTGCGATCGAAACTTTCCCGCTAACGACTAATCCTCCCTTTCTCTTGCCCTAGCGCAATTGAGACCAGACTGTAGTTCTAGTTCCCGTAGATTCCTTTACCTTCAAACCCCGACATACTACGTCCGTTCTACCGTAAACAGGTAACGCCTAAGTCTCCAATGGTCGAGCAGCAATACACCTAACTGCTAGAATGCGTACTCTAGTATCGTCAATCCTTTCTCTCACCCCTGTGTGATCGAGAACACCCTGGTTACCCGTAGTTAGCCTGAACTACGTTTTTCTCAGATTTCTCATGCCAGATGAGAATACGTAGGCACAAGACGTGACATCTTGGCGAGCAATCCCCCCGTAGTTTCCCGAACTACGTTGACTCTGACTTTCCCATTGCATGAGGGAATACGTAGGCATAAAGCGCGATGCTCTATCGAGTCAGTTCTTTCCGTTTAACCTTAGAAGCCGTAGTTAGATTGTTTTTCACCCATAGACAACCAACAAGCGTGGATCCCGTCGAGTACGACGGACGTGAGGGGTGCTAATACCTTCCCCTTGCGTAACCGACTCCCGAATCCAGACATGGTTGCGATGACCTTGTCTTTCCCTTTTTCTTTAGGTTTTTGCGATCGTTTCCTTTCCCTCTCTTTGGGATAAATAACGAAAGTGACGACTCTTCTGTTTGTCCGCCGGTGGTTTTTCGCAGTTGCGACAATATGTAAGAATTTGGTACTCCAATTTTATCTTAAATGTGCAAATATACATTTCTCATTGGAATCAACTTCTAGCGTAACTCAACAAGATTATGATAGACACTAAAGTTTCTAAAGAAGAAAATATGTGCTCCTCAAGAAAGCGTTTATTTCTAACGAAAGGATTCTGAAGACTCTGATCAACGTTAAAGTTCAAAATACATGATAAGGATCAAAGCTCAAAGTCCAAAGCAAAACGTGAAGGCCAAGAATCCATACAAATGATTCTTTCCTAAAAAATTTTTAAGCATAAATTTTGCACAAAATTGATCAGAAAGCTTTCTAAGCTTTTACTACTTCTGCTCTCCAAGTATTCTAACGTTGAAGAAAGCTAACCTAGCTCAAAGACATATATCTGTTGAGGTTATAAATAGAACACTATGCTGCATTGCAAATGACAACGATTCACAAGTCAAAATGCTAAAGTACATACTCTGTCAAAGAATTTCAAAAACACAAAGAGTTGCTGCTCATATTTGTGTAGAAATGTTATTCTTAAATTTGTTTCAATTTGCTTATTAAGAAGCACTATTGTAAACATTCTTGTAACACTTTTTGAGTGATCTTCCTTGAGTGACTAAGTGTGTTAGTCAGTAGACTTGAGAGGACTAAGTTGTTGTTGAACAACTTAGAGGTTGGTTGTAAATTTTCCTTGAGTGACTAATTGTGTTAGTCAGTAGACTCGAGAGCGCTAAGTCGTTGATGACTTAGAGGTTGATGTAAACTTGTCAAAGATTAATGGATTGAGTCCTTGTGATAAGGCAAAATCACCTTGGTTGATGGACTGGATTAGCTTCATTAACAGTGAACCAGGATAAACCAATCGTGTTCTTTCTTTCAGTGGTTCATACCTTTGTTTGCGTGTGTGTGTGTGTTACAAATTCTATTGAAAAATTTGTAAAACTCAATTCAAACCCCCTTTCTTGTGTTTTTCTCAACCTTCAGGAGCCATTGTCCGCATATGTTAGTTCACACAACATTTCTACGAGGTAAAAAACAATTCATAAAAAAAGCAAACTAGCTAAGGCTTGGGGGTGACTTTTATCAACTGGGTTGAAGTCTAATCTGTGTGCAATCGGATAAACCAAAACTTGTCAAGTAAAGCCGCCAAGAATAAATACACTATGAAGGTGTGCCCAGTCATGCTTGATCAAGCCTCTAATATTGTCGAATGATAAGGTTTATAAGATCCTATGACATTTGTTTTTAAAGATAATGTCTTTGATAAAGTTATAGGGCCTCAAAACTCTAGACCTCTACTATAAAGTCTAACGAGAAGTTCAAACTTAGGTTTGCATTATTCTAAACTCTAAATCTTGCACTCATGACCTCTATTAATTAGATTATCAAAGTGTTTCCTTATACATCCATGTCATTGAGAGCCACAAATAACCATTGTCGTCAAGGCATTCATCATTATATGTATCTTCTAAAATCCATTGATTAATACACATGTGAAGATTTGATATCTCATATAAACAATCTATGCATTAATGTTGTTCGGCCGAAAATAAAATTTGTCAACAAATACTTTAAAAATAACGTCATTACCTTTAATGGAGTTTCATTAAATATTATGTTTAAAAAATTAACTATTCTACAAAATTTATTATTTTGAAACAAACATAATAAAGAAAATTCTTTTATTATAAATACATAACATAATACAAGTTATATATTCAAACTTAAACCTCTAAACTTCTAGGACTTATAGAAACAAGTAGCTTGTATATCATATGCAACAACATCAAGAAAACCCACTTCTCAACCAACAAATAAAGTCCATGTATTGTTATTCCTACACTAATTATCCTACATTAAATATTTACATTAAATATTATTCATCTAATAGATGAACAATATTTTTTATTTTTTTAATAAATAAAAACAATATTTATAAAAAAATAATCTTATTTTTATAACACAAATATAAAATTTATCATTAATCAATTTTATTATTGAATTAATTATAAAATATAAATTATTAATCACAAAATATAAATTATTAATCACATATTTTACTTATAATTCATTAAACAAATTTATTATTTCATTAAATAATAAAATATATAACATTAACCAAATTCTAAAATTAAAATATGAAATATAATAATGACTATTAAACTCTATTAATCAATCTTATTTGTTTTATAGGTAAAGAAAAGATTGTGTGTAGATGAAAGCAGCACACTACCATATCACCATCACTGACATGAACATTACATCCCCGATTCAAGTTATCTACTAGGTAAGTTCACACAAAAACAATTTTTAACTCAACCTATAATGAGTTTAAATTCATACTAACTCTTATAAGAAAAAAATATCTTTTTACATTCATTGAAAATGTAATAACACGTTGAATTCAATTAAGTTATTTTAGATAATGCATTCCCTAGCCAATTCTGTCATTGCCTCCTTGAAATTTGATTTTCGCTGGATTAATCATATACTTATTTGAACATTTTGAACAATCTCATCGTAACAATATTTTATTTATAAGGCCAACCTGGCATGGAGTTACATGGTATACAGATGGAGCAAAAGAAGCAAGTGGTACAAATTACAATACAGACTTTAGTACTACTGATAAGATTCACGAAACATGCACCATAACAGCATCCTTATGGATTCTTCAAATAAATATATAAGTCCAGCAACTATTTTTTCAGGTCATCTAAACTTCACTTGATACCTTCTGCTTACTGCTGCTAGCCTGAAAAAGTTATCAATAGATTAACCAATCAATACCACAAACAAACCTAACATGGTACTATAATATATAAGAATTTGTTCATATTAAGCATGTATATATAGTGTACCTTCTTCTTAGGCTGAGGTTTCTGCTCAGTTTTCTTTGGTGCTGCTGCTGCTTTGGCGGCTCTAGTTTTTGGAGTGGTTGCACTAGTTTTGGCAGCAGGCTCTTTCTTAACCTGTCCTGATGGTTGAGAGATACCAGATTTATCGGTAGGTTTCTCAGCTTTGAGGGATGCCATTTTACACACTACGTACTCTTTTGTTTGCTAGCTTCAGGTTAATAATAGAACTAAAAAACACATTTATTTATAGATTTTTTTAGCATTATGCTATGTCATCAATTTGTCAGTAAATGGAATAAACTGAATTGTATGCTTATGGAGAGATGCTGCAGAATAGGATACTTTGCCTAAATAAAGCATATTTTGCTGATATTTTTTATTATATTCTACATTATAGTTAGATACTAGTGCATGTTGAGGCCTAATTGCATCATATGCTGAAAATCTGAAGCCCTCTTGAAGACTGGAATTTACTTGTCCTAACTGCTACCAAACTAGATATCTATATTCTTTACGCGTTTGATGGGGATTTTGAAAATGTCTCTGATTGAATTTGAGTTTGAAGGTTGAAATTGTTAAAAACAGGTTTGAATTGCGAGGAAAGTAAATTAATGAAGTAAAACTAAGTGTTGAATTTAAAGAGGAGAAAATAGAAGTGTTCGAAATGTAAATGGTTTGAAATTATAATGTAAAGTGAATGAATTCAAAAAACAATGCCGCCTAAGATAAATTTGTTGGGATTAAAAAAAAAAAAAGAGTTAAAGAAAGTGGAAGGTAAATAAGTGGATTTGATAACGCAACAATCGGGGGATCGAACGAGGAACATTTTAAACGACGAGACATCCTTCTTAGAGCAACACACCTTTGTAAGAGACACACCACATATTCACCCAAAACCTTAAGGTTTTTGGTGAATATGTGGTGTCTCTCTCAATTGTGTTTCTCTTGACCCAATGTTCAATGCTCCATAGTGATAAAATCTCCTAACAATGGTATCATGAGAGTAAATGGACCGACTTTACTTGTATATATCCAAATGCTCAGAAATAGGTGTCCCATTGAAATCGAATGTCGAGGAAGAGGGGTTTCGAAATTCCTTTCGAAATGCCTAGAGAGGTGACTAGTAATAGGTGTCAACGACGGTACAAATATATATGGACAATAGAGTTTCCACATGAATGAGAGCATTGTGGACTCACACTTGAAGGGGAGTGTTGAGAATAATATAACAAGTGTGAGTAGCCCCACATTGGATAGGAATGTAGTTACTTGAGCATTTATAAGTGGCAGAACCCAAACACCTATCACCTTAAAGTTTTGAGTGAATATGTGGTGTTTCTCTCACTTGTGTTGCTCTTGATCCAATGTTCAATCACTCCGGCTATCGGATACATATTTAAGTTAAGAGTAATATATTATAAAGAATGAACCAAGCATATGAAAATTCTATTGATAAACTTCCACTAACCCAAAATATCATAAGATTTACTATGAATTTTGAAGATATAATAACACAATATTATTGCATGTAAAAGAATTTTTGTGTCTTTTTAAGTTATGATGTTTTCTAAGATTAAGAGAATAATATATATTTCAGTATAAGACTTCTTAGAATTAATTTATATTTTGAAGTCTTTTTAGAATATGTCATATTTACACTGTAGACACTATGAGAATAATAATCCAAATTTTTTAAATTATATGATTGTGTACACATGCACTCTCACTAATCCAATAGGATTATAAAGATTTATCAGAGTCCACTAATATTAAATATTCTGATTGAACAATGTGATACTAATTTTATTTTTAGTGCAAAACTATACAAAGAAGTGGTTCCATAATATATCACCATTGGAGTTTTACAAACTCAACCACATATTTTGCACGTAAATAAAATATGTCATTATTTAAGTAATTTCACATGAAAGAATATGATGGTCATACAAAATATTTACCATCAATTAATTGAGATCAAACCCATATAATTTTAAATATAATATATGATTATATTCAACATCTTAATAATTCACTCAAAAACTCAAATGCTACAAATATAATTACACACATTTAAGAAACATATTATGTTATACGCAGAGAAAAAATATGACACTCTAAATTTAACTATTATTGAGGGTATAACACAAATAGTCATAAATTTTATTACTAACATAAGAATATAATATCCTTAATATACGTATCTATAAAGTAATAAATAAATAATATTTGTTTCTCAATTTTATATAATTGACATGTTAAATTCTCCGACTTGATAGAGAACAATAGTTGAACTAAGATTAAGAGTTTTGAAAAAAGTTTAAACAAATATGCAACTATTTTCTCTATCACACAGTAACCATGCCCAGAAGCGTCACACCAATAAGGTATGTCCATCACTTACATAATATAAATAGAATTGAAATCCATTTTTAAAAATATTAAAATAAAATTATTGGATTTCAAATATTATTACATGTCTTTAAAATAATTTCTTATTTATTAAATAATAGTTTCAACAATATTAAATATGAAATATAACAATGTATAAATATTATGTCACAAAAAAATTCTAATACCGATAGGATACTAGAACCATAATTTACATATCATAAATCACAAGTACATTGAACAATAATAAATTATATTAATAATAACATACCGATAGGGTTAATTATTATCAATATAATATCTGTTATAATTAAAATAAATTTAATTATTTTATTAAACAAAATTTGTATAATTGTAGCCACGATATGTGAGTAGCAATCATACAAATTAAGAATTCTTATATTATATATAATTGTATCTATGATAGCTGAGATTACAATTATATAAATAAATAGTGATTACTTAATTTTTCATAATAAAAATCATAAAATAATAAGATTTCAATATATATATATATATATATATATATATATATATATATATATATATATATATATATATATATATATATATATATATATATATATATATATATATATATATATATATATATATATATATATATATATATATATATAATTGCATAATTTTAATTTCAAAAAGGACATGAATAATATTTTAAGAAATTCCTCCTTGTATGCAATTATTATATAATAGTCACACGAGATTCAAAATTAATAATCAAATACAACTAACCTCAAACAGAATGTGACATTTATCCTGTTAGACGACGATGACTTGTCTAGAGAGAGTTGAATAGACACCCAAGCCAAAACCATCAAATAAAATTTGGGTTTTAGAGTTATTTGAAAAAGAGTGCGTGTGGAAGATTTTGGTATGGATCGACAAATTTCGTCTATACAAATCTAGTTATTGGAACTCGGATATGCAAAGCCAATTATGAAATGACAAACACAATAATCGAATTTAACCTTTAATCGAGTATCACGTTATTACTCGTTTAAACTAATTGACCTAGTAGTGTTATTTCCAATGATAATGAGCAAAAATATTGAACAATGCAATTTATCAAACACTTGACGTGTCAACGAATTTTCAGAATTTCCTTTATGTTGTTGATATGAAAACCACTTATAATCAAAAGTGATTATAAGCTAATCAACAATCAAGCTAAAACAAAAAGATCACAAGAAAATTCTTACGAGTCGATCGATTGATCAATGCTATTTGATAAATTACGTAATGAATAATAAAGCAAGTAAAGAGATAATAGAGAGATCGACACGAGAATTTGTTTACGCAGTTCCCCACTTCCGTCATCACGTGTGGGTACGTCTGCGCCTAATTTCCAATGTGGAATTAGGATATTTTCTTACTATCCAAAAAGTCGATGTATAAGAGAAGTGTTCAATAGCAACTATACAAACACCACTAGTTTTGAGATGTTGATTCAACCCATTCTCTTCTTTTTATCTTGAAAAAGACAAAGATAACAATGGATGCCAATTGACTTGTTGATATTGCTACTCCATTGCATTCTTTATCTCCAAGCTTTCGCACACGATCAATTGCACCGATTGTTCCACAAGACATCAATTCGATTCTCCGTTCTCCATTACTTCCTTTGTGTACTTTATCTCCAAAGGCTTTCACAACGTTACAATCTTCTCTTGAACGTCTTGTAGGAAAACCCCCAAACCTACACACAATCCTGGAGGACAAACCCGCGATTTTTCTGGATGAAGACCCCTGTAAAAAAAAATAGAGACTACAACCTTATTTAGGACAATAGATGTACCGGCCTGAAACACGTATGTACTGGCAGATAATGTTGAAACTTTCAATATGTGCCGACCGAGATAGCCATGTGTCGACCCAACCAAGTCAGAGCCTATAGGTTTTAATATCGAGTTACATGTGTCGGCCTGAAATGTGTATGTGTCGACACATGTAGTGCAGTTTTGTGCGGAAATCTGTTTTTCATATTTTTGGGCAAGTTCAAGGTGGTTTTTAATGATTTCTGAGACCTCTAATTCAAAGGTGCCACACAAACTCAGAGATACCGTCTGACACACATAAATACTAAATTTTCTTATAGTTTTAACATCATACAAAACATCTAATAGAGAAGTTGCACTCACATATCCTTGTGAGTAGAGTTATTGAACTTTAATGGCTTTTAAAATATTGTAGTATCATCTCAAAATTATTCATAAATAAAGAATAAACCGTTATATCAAAATATAAAACTCTATTTATAAATAATCATAATTCAAGAATAATACAATTTAACTTTACTAAAGAATATCTCAAAATCATTATATATGAACATTTTAGATATATTTAAAATTTGAATTAAAATAAATAAAATATTTAATACTATTTATTTGACATCAACTTAGGAGAGAGTTGTTGAAGCTTATATGGGAGCCTAGAGCCTCTATTTTAGCCAGAAAACATAAAAAATAAAGGTTTGTGTTGCATATCACTCTGACACAAATTTACACACCAATTCGACTATAAAATTATGGTTTACTTTTAAATATGTGTATAGAGAAAATCCACACAGATTTCTAGAAGCATATTCATCTCTATTAATAACCTCTAAATAGTTTTAGAAAAATAATTAGCTTTAACTTAGACTTTTCATTTGCTTTTGTAAGTTATAAATGAGACGAACATACATACATAATAACGTATATAAATGAATTTAACCTCAATTAAATAAATTAATTATTATAATTAGGATCAATATGATGACAAATTTA